TAACCACTCATATAGGGAATAGTGTGTCCACCAAAGTTTTTAACCACTCATATTACCTAGGGATCCTTGTATTATATAAAAAGGTGTTTTATATTAATAAATGTGTGGCTAGAAACTTTGGTGGACATCAACTTAAGTTGATAGGAGTCTTGTCCTAATAATAGTTCATGTTAGGTCTAATTTTAAATTAACTTAACATGAAGTAAATTAGACTTAAAAAGGAATTTAACATGAAGTAAATTAGACCTAACATGAATTGTTATTAGACTTAATATGAATTGAATTTAGACTTAACACAAATCAATTTGAACTTAACATTAAATTAGACTTAACATGAACTAAAATTAGACGTAACATGAAATTAGACCCAACATGAACTATTATTAGACCTAACATGGACTATTAGTAGACCTAACATGAAATTAGACCTAACATGAACTATTATTAGACTTAACATAAACTATTATTAGACTTCACATGAACTATTATTAGACCTAACATGAACTATTATTAGACATAACATAAACTGAAATTAGACTTAACATGAACTATTATTAGACCTAACATGAACTAAAATTAGACTTAACATGAACTGAAATTAGACCTAACATGAACTATTATTAGACATAACATGAATTGAAATTAGACCTAACATGAACTGAAATTAGATATAACATAAACTAAAATTAGACTTAACATGAACTATTATTAGACTTAACATGAACTGAAATTAGACCTAACATGAACTATTATTAGACTTAACACGAACTGAAATTAGACCTAACATGAACTCTAAATAGACCTAACATGAAATCTAAATAGACCTAATATGAACTCTATAGACCTAACATGAAAGGATAGAGGAGATAAGAGCATTTTAGGGTTTGTACTTTTTATGCTCTCTCTATATTTAGTTAGCAGGTAATAATTGCTAAAATAGAGCTTCAGCACATGAAGATATTGTTTTTGAGGCCTTGAGATAATTTTCCCAAAAAATAGAGGCTACTAGAAATTATAAAGGATGTGCTCAACTGATTTACACGGATGCCCACCCTAAAGGCCCAAATAGACTACAACCAAGCCCAAACTCACCTGTATAACTCATTGTCTTCTTAATTTGCCTCCAAAGTACCTCCTGAATCCTGATGGCGATGGGCTAGCTATTCAACCCCCTTTTTTTAGATATTAGTCTCTTAACATCTTCATATTCTGAATTGGGCCCTCAAATCACTAAAATTGCTGTAAGTCCACTAATTTATAGGTTATTTTAAAGTTAATCTTTCAAATCATTAAAATTGCTATTAGGTCCCCCATTCTTCAGTTAATTTGAAATTTGACCCTCAAATCAAGTGTGGAAGTAGCAATTACATGATAATTAGTCCCTCAAATCACTAAAATTATTGACAGGTTCAAACTAATCTATCTAAATGCTAATTCTACTCTTGATTGGAGGGACTAACTTCAAAAGAGCCTAGGAATTGAGGGACCCAATAGAAATTTCAATGATTTGTGGGACTAATTTCAAAATATCTTAACTATGAGGGATCTAAGTGAAATTTTAGTGATTTTAGGGGGAAATTTCGAAGTAAGAAAGATTTTTAAGGGATTAATATTGAAAAACCCCAAAAAGATCCTAAAATTCTCCGACATAAATATACATATTTGAATATGTCCCCCCATAGAAAAGACTTTTTGGGATATCCGTCTGTGGGATTGGTTGGTGGGTGGGTGGGATATTTCTTTCCTAAAGAATATGCAAAGGAGCTCCATGGATGCTTAATAGAAATAATTTCATCGGACAAATTTTCAAAACCAACCTATTTGGACTTTTATTCCCCAAAAACGACCCAATTCAAAAATAATTGCAAAAACCGACCTGGTTTCAGCCTCAGCGCTGAAACCAGGTCGGTTTTTGAAAAAAACTCTCCGAAACTTCACGGGAGTTGAACTCCCGTGAAGTTTCATAGTTCAAAAAACTTCACGGGAGTTCAACTCCCGTGAAGTTTCGGAGAGTTTTTTTCAAAAACCGACCTGGTTTCAGCGCTGAGGCTGAAACCAGGTCGGTTTTTGCAAATAAAACTGAATGGGGTCGTTTTTTGGGAATAAAAATCCAAATAGGTTGGTTTTGAAAATTTGTCCTAATTTCATCTTGTACTAATTTTTGCAACAAATCTTTTTAAAACCTCCACGAAAAGGTTTTTCTTGCCAATGCATGCATTCTGGTTCTATTCAATTTGTATTGTTAATCTCATGATTTGGAACTTTTCTGTTATTGACTAAAATTCCTTCCCATTATTTATGCAAATAGTTTGACAGTACCGTGCAAGGAAATTCTAAAGACAGCTACAAAAGAAATGTGGTTATTTTTCTAGGATTTTATTTTTTCAGTTTTTTCAGATCATATAACCTATTTCTTTTCAGAGCATTGTTTGTTTCTCCTCTTCGGAAGCTTTCTTTCCACCAGTGACCCGTTGTACAATGCATGATATATACTTGATAAAGCTTAATTAACTTGCACCCTTTTCTTTTCCATTCTTTTTTCTAATATTTCGTCACACTCTATTCTCTCAAGTGCGTGAACTGTTGCTGCATTGGTCGAAAACTATAATATAGAGTTCACTTCAGTTGGAAAATTGAATGTCACCGCAGTTGATATAACTTTCAAAACTTAGAATATTGAACTTGGCATCAAACTGAACTTGGGAAACAAAACAAAACAAAACAAAATCGCTTGTTGTAGACATACAATATCGATAGCGGAGTGAAAATTGTTTGTCTTTGACATGTTTCAATGTTACAAATAGAGGCAACTACATACGTTTACTATCCATTATAAACTGATGTTTGATAAAATAAAAGATATGTAAAGTTGGTGAAGCTTATCCCAAACTTGTCTACCTAGGATATGGACCATGGAATAGATCATAGACAAGCTACCAGCTCAACCACTGCTGATGCTCTCAAGGTCCTTGATTGATTCTACCCCCTCTCGTCCGAGTGTTAGCATATCTTATCTCCAATGATTTTATCTGCTTGCTGACTGTGATGTGTTCTCTTTTGTCTAGTCATACAATTATATGCTACTACTTTGGGTATTCTCTGGAGCTTTCATTAGAGTGAATGAATGGTTTGAGAGAACTTTCGGGGTTTTGATGTGTAATTGAGGTGACCTGCAAGTTGTCTAGCTAAGAGTCATGTGTTTGCTAACCATACATCAGATGTGTTGGTGATTTGAACGAGCAACAACATTAGGAAATTGAAAGCAGAGTTAATACACCACTTGGTGCAGTAGCAACCAGACAAAAGAAGAGAATTAGCTAAGGACAAGCTAATTAGGGTTCAAATTCCTAGAGAAATCTTTGAGAAATTTGTATCAACTCAATAACAATCCTAAATCTTAAAAGTGTGAAAATAAAAAAATAATAATGATAGACAATAGTGAATGATATTTTTTGATCTGTGAGGGAACAATCATGATAACACTGTCCCAGAACATCTACCGTCTTCACGGAGGTGGATGAACTTGACCGGGTGTAACACGGTCGGACGACAAGGAAGCCTAGCCCACGGATAAGCACGGGGCTTCCGAGTTGACTCAGATTGACTTGATCGTCGACTGACTACTGCTACTATTAATATAACGCCATTTAACTATCACGGTACTTTGAGTCATTTGGCATCATGAAACTCGTGTTACATCTCTTAATCATTAGAAATATGTATTTGTGCCTATTTCTTCTATATTTGGAAGGGGCGTTATGAGCTGTTGTTATGGAATAAATTCGGAATTGAAGAAACTTTTCATTCTCTTGATCTTACGATCATTTTTTTGTTTGACAATATTACCCTCCAGCAGAATAGATGTTCATTTCGGAGCAACATGACACCTGATTTAGAAGTTTAGATAAGTTTGTTTTAATTTTTAAAAAGCCTTTTCTATTAGATTGTGCTATGCCTCTTCACTTTGGCTCTCATTATGCATGTATTTATTTCCTTAATCAAAGTTTTTGGATATCTTGTCCCGATTACTTGAAGAAAAAAAATGTTAATATTTGAAATAGTCATATCCATCCACAATTTAATGAATGGTTAAAATCACCACCGCACTTTATACATTAAACTGTCATTTAGCATAGGATTCAAAGTCTCCATGGTTTGGTAAAATACAAATCTTCACGGTAATCTTTTTCCCCCTTCATATAAAGGAACTTAAAAAATCATAGAGTATATATTCACCTTCAAGGTTGGAACGGCATCAAGTTGGGTTAGAATATAAAAATATAACCATCAATATTTACAGTAACTTTAGAGTTTTTATGTAATGATTAGAAACTTTTGAGATGGTATCAAAGCAATTTAGTTTCAAATCCCACCGGTCACGAATTTGACACCGTTATGTAAGTTCAAATTTTGGCTTATAAAACTATTAACTTGCAATCATCACCATAACTTTAGAGTTTTGATGTAATGACTAGAGATAATAGTTGATGCCAGAAAGCAAGATTGAGAATAGGAATAATCTAGGGAAAAATTGCAAAATAGACCGTTTTTGCTAATTATTTAGCAAAATAGACCGTTTTGCTAAATAATTAGCAAAATAGACCTCTTTTTGGCCAACAGGCCAAAAAGAGGTCTATTTTGCAAAACAGCTCAGAAAACATACGGGACTAGTAGTCCCGTATGTTTTAATCACGGATTAGTGAAATTTTCTACTCAGAAAACATACGGGACTACTAGTCCCGTATGTTTTCTGAGTCACTAATCCGTGATTAGTTGGCTCTAAACATACGGGACTAGTAGTCCCGTATGTTTTCTGAGCCTTGTTTTTTAAAATCTACCTCTTTTTTTCAAAAGAGGTCTATTTTGCTAATTATTTTTCAAAGTGGTCTATTTCGCTATATATTTCATAAAAATGGTCTATTTTGCAAATTTTTCCAATAATCTACCGTGGAGTGGAAGAAGTAGGAGTTAATCAATTTCAGTTAATGCTTCCCAAACTATGCCCAAAGATAAAACATGAATTAACCTCAACTAGGTACGTACAACTACTTATAATGGGAATCACCATGTTTGCTAATCCAGACTAAGAGAAATACTCAAGCAAATCCCCTCTTCTTGCTCACACAACCTCCACAGCTTGGCAGTGCAGATCAAACGTCAGCATCGACGCCCTCGGTCTCAACATCGGCGGCGACGCCGACTTCTCCAACACCACCGCCATCGTAGGCACGCTCGGCATAACCCTCTCGCGCGTGCCAAGCCATTTGGACTGCACGTACTTGTGCTTCCTCCACGGTGCGATGTGCATCTTATTATCCTTCATGCATTTCTTCGCCGCCCCGCACATTATCTTGATCACGTGCCGGAGCCTTTCAGGTTTCCCGACGAAAATCTCAGGGAGTACGCTCACAAGGGCGTTGTACTCGGTGTTTCCTCGTGCCATCTCGAATTCTTGTTTGAAGTTGGGCTCGACGATTATTCGAACTGGGCCTTTCTTTGTGGTCTTTGATTCTACGACTACGTCTATGTAATTGTGCTCGCCTGATGGAATGTCAGGCGATCGACGCCACTTGGATTTGCACAGAGCACTGTTATATCCCAAATCTCTTAAATGGTCGACGATAGCTCTCAGCGCAGAATCCCGGTGAGATTCAGTCGTCGACTGCATTTTTCGTATAATTTCCTCTGTGCGTCTCTTGATTCTTGTTTCTGTTGAGCTAGGTCGAGAGAGAGCGTCCTGCATTGGATCAATAAGAGACTCGATTATAGACTGATCGATCTAACGCTTTTAATCAACTCTCTGATCGATATTAAAATAATTTTCTTACTTGAAGGAGACGATGTTGTTCATCCCAAAAGGCTTTGGTCTCTGCCATGTTAATTTCTTTTTCTTCTTCGTCGCCGTCGCCGTCGCCGTCGCTTCTCCATTGATCAATGTGCTCTGTTGCCTGAGATTCATCGCCGAATGCGAAGAAATCCAACTCTATATCCGAGAGGTTTTTATCCATCTGAGCTCTCTCGATCTTTGTTTTTGCTGTTTAAGCTTTCTTTGATTGAGTTTTGGAGTACGTGTCCCTTTAATTAGGTTGGTCTTATGTAGGAGGAGGCTGAGGCTGGACACACTAGGCGCCGCGAACATTTGTGGCCACGTGGCGATTCTGACTCCAAAGTGCGGTTCTTATCCTGATCTTGATCTTGATTAGCAATTATTACACAAGGAGACAGCGAAGATCCACGTCAGTTGGCCGCGTCCCACAATCAATCATGCAATTTATCAGAGAGGACCGGTGGGGTTTCATTGCAAGAAATAATAATTTCAAGTAGATTCGCTTCTTTTACAATCCGAAATTCATAATAAGAACCCTGGAGCAGGAAAACACGTGTCAATTTTTTTATTTAAGATTTTAACTAAAGTCTATAGCGAATAAAGACACGCGTCACCCGCCGTTGGTCCGTTTTGGTTCTAAAAGTAATTTCTCTTTTTTGATATTTTAGCAACACGTTAGAACAAAAGCATTAAAATAATCTTATATAGTCTGGAATTATACAGAAACAAAGAATAAACTATAGTAGGGTTGTTTGACCTAATACCCCATAGTCGTTTTTTAACTTTGTTCACCTTTTTTTTCTTTTCCTTTTTTGACCCAAAATTTTTACTTTGATGTCCTAAAGTTTTTAGGCCAAAAAAGTACCCTAAAGTTCAACAAACTTAACTTGATACCACCAAACTCTTTATTAATTTCTCAAAAAATATTTCAAAATTCAATAAAATTTGACCTTAATTATACCCCCAACTTAAAATTTTTTGTTAAATTTTGTGATATCAAAGTTATAATTTTGTTAAAGTTCAGAATATCAAAGTTGAATCTTGTGGTATTTTTCGAACACAAAAACTTTAGAATGTTAAAATTAAAATCGGAGTAAAGTTTGGAGTACTTAAGTGCAAATAACTGATAATAATTGGATTAAGAATTCTCCCTCATGTTCTCTCTGGGGATTTGCTTATTAGTTTACAAGGTTCGACATTGTCCAAATTGGATTCACTATTTGCTACTCCAGCATATCTTTAGCACTTCTAAGTAGGTTGCATGCCTAGTTGTCAGCATAGCATTTAAGTCTAATTTAAACGATAATTGGGGTCCGTTTGGATGAAGGTATTTTGTTCCGAAAATTAGGAGGAAAGCTGCCAAAATAGCAGCTTTTTGGCAGCTTTTTCCCAAAATCGCCTCTTTAGA